AGGGGGATAAAATACTAGCTATACAAGTATTTAGGATCCGACCGTATAAAAATTACATACTATATAAGATAACTTGTTGTTACATACGTGATTCGTCCGTCTGTTTCATCAGAAGCTACAGGTTCATGCCAAGCCGCTCTGGCAACATAAGTAAACGGTTGGGCTGTTACAAATATTATCGGGGGTGTGCATGTCATTCCAGGAGGCGTTCTATCTGTATTCGAATGATATAAACATTAATTTAAAGTACTATATTCAGATAAAGTAAATTATGTACATTTAGAAGATCTTCTGGAAAATGAAACACGGTTTTTTTATTTTTGTAATGTGTTAAGAAAAATATACAGGGTGGATTATCACGTGACATTTTACGAAAACATTGGTCACCGCTAAGGGTTCGTGCTATTTGTTCGTTTATATTCCAATATTTGAATACTAAACAATAAAACATACACTATCTTCTAAGTTTATATGTGCTGATTGCAATGGTAAATAACTTTTAATGTAGCTCTTTTATTTTTTTCGTAATGCTTGCACATGTTTTTGAATACCGCTAATTTTAATGGAAATATGTGTCACAATTCCTGCAAGCATATCGGGAAAAGAACAAAAAGCTTCATTGAAAAAAAAATCCTTTAAACATGGTGTATATTTGTTATTCAAATATTGAAAGATATAACGAGAAAATAGCAAAAACCATTAATGGCGACTTAATGTTGCGTAAGTCTGTTATTGACACAGTAGTTTAGTGCACACTACATTTGATGCACTCTAGCACCCGGCTTATGCAAACTTTAACATTTGAACAGCTTATTGGTGGACTTTTAAATTTAGAGCAAGCGCATTGCAGTTATTGTGAAATCTTTTTAACCATTCCTTGAAAAGATGCGTATTGTACCCAAGTAAAGGGATGAGTGTGAACAAGAACTAGCAGTTATGGGCAGAACTAAGGATTAAAAAAACAACCAAAAACAAACAACCAAAAATCAGAATAAAAAGAAAAACTAAGCTTAAGTACTAAAATAGCACACACCAGAAGGACGTCTGTCGCCGAACGCACAAGATGAAAATAGTGTAGCAACACATACGACTCCCCGTACCGCTCCTATGAAAACATCACCTACAATTTGGACTATTCCTCGGAAGGACCATCCTCTTTTTTGTCTTACGTGACTTTTATTATCAATGACCTCTGAAATTGTGCAAATAAACTTACAATTACTACTTGATCTGTTATTTTTACTCCGCAGCTGCTCGCTTAATGCTCCTTTCGCGTCTGCTATTTATATCTGGCATCAAAGGTTGTTTCGAATTTAAATTAGGTAAGGAACAACCATGAGAGCATCGCATGAAAGTTACTAATATCATATTATATCTTAGACTCTTTTTATTTGCTGCAAAACATTAAAAAAAACTAAAATAAATATACATGTATAGATGTATATTTTAAATATTTTTTTTCTTCACATTTGTCTTTACGATTACTACGGAATATTTCAGAATAACAAAACTTGTCGAATTAACGTTTAATGTCAAACATAATCAAGAAATAATAAATGTTAGGTATTAGGAATAAACAATACTGATAAAACTGGTTGTACAATTATATGACCTTGACCGCTGGACGATAGTTATACACATTGGGAGGCAGTACACAGTTTCGGTCATTTAGTTTCGAATTGGCCAGGGTCAAATATACAAATAAAGAGACAATCTTGTAATTGAAGTAGATACTTGAGCTTCTAAGTATTTAAAGATGCTATAGATCTTATAGATCTATTTCAAATTTTAGTGGCTATTATTGTGTTTCAGTTATCAAGTAAAATTGATTTTAGTAGTGTTTGACTCATATATTTTGGGAAGTGCCTGTCAGATTCGAATGTATGATCCTAACATTGTGTACACCGGTCTTGTCGATATTTGAGACCGGTGCGTATACAATGTGATCCTAAAGCTAGCTCGGAAATCAGCTCTTCAATTTAAAGGGTATGCAGAAGACATAATAGTGGAATATTAATTGCACGACCCCAGTTTGGACTGTGCATTGTTTAAGAAAGAAGAAACACCTTAGCTTGTTATTTAATTTTGTGACGTTATTTTGCGAATAGGGGTAATCCACTCTTTTTGTCGTTGATATTCGCGACCAAAACAATGAAAAACACAGAGCTATGTGCCAGACAACTAGAAGGGGGACATACATTTTTAATTGTTTGCTGTGAAATATATATGTATGTGTTAAATATAAAATGCATTTATTTCAGGTGTGTGATGTAGGTTAGTCGGTTATTTGCCAAGAAGCATTGAAACTGTGTATTGTCCCCTTGCAGCTAAAACCGTTAATGTCCAAAATCTTCATAGAGAATTTATAATACTACAATATTGATTTCATCGATAAATATAAATCAATTTAACCTTTGTGTATGATCCATTGTTTATCTTCACATTGAACGTGTTGTACTCCAAGTGCGTTTTCAACGATGCAGACAGAGCCTGTTGTGATGGTACCGTTTTGAACAGACTCGATGTGAACTTCTTTGTCGTCATGTACACATCCCAATATAGTACCAGATAAGTCAGTGAAGTCACAACACTGCAGTACATATGGAGTTTGGTATAATTATAATAATATTATGGCTTGCCAGTGTTGTTTTAATAATTATTTTAATACATTGTCTATGTATCTTTAGTATGTATGTATGTATGCATATCATGTATTGAAGTGACTTTAAAACCGGAAGAAACACAATATTTCAACAAAAATTAACTTTAGAACAATTTACTAAGTTGTTAAGAAAACTCAAAAGATTTGAGATTCAAGTAATAATTTACATGTTATCTGAGATTAAGGACTGATTTTGCATCATTTATCACCATATCTCTACTACGTTACAAACGCTATTTTTGCTCTCTTTTTTGACTTCTTTCTTTTGGTAATTTACGTAGATTACAAGTGTTGTTTGCAATGTAATAATTATTTCTTTGATCACTTCACAATATTTTACTTTTGAATACATTTTTCAAATTTTCATGAATATAAGCATAAATTTAGAGGCGTGCTGCTTGAACAATTAAGAATAGATCTGTATAATATACATTATATATTATGATTAAAGAAATTATCTTACTTTGCACAATTTTAAATCATTTTATTGAGTACAGCGAATTGAACGTTTTATTACAAGTACAAATAATAATAATATAATATCGAGGGTTCAAAGGTAAAAGGTTATAACTGCCACTTTTGCTGAAATCGACTTTTTATGTTTTTTTATAATGTACTTATTGTCCTTTATGTTTGGCGAAAATATTATATAAATATTCAATCCTTATAAGGGCAAAACATTAAAAAGTATTTTGTAATAACTTCTTTTCTACAAATTATGTAGGGGTAAAAGGTTCTAAGTGTACTTATTACCTGTTGTTTACTTGTTGTTCCACATGTTGTGAAGAATCTGTAGTGGAAAAAGGTTATAACTGATTTTATCACCTTTTTCCTCTGACAGAATACTGCATTCATACAGTTCACAGGCACTATCTGTTATCTCTTTTCCTAAGAAATTTATCTTGTAGATTTAAATGCAGCGAGAATATAACCGAAGATGAAAGACAGAAAAAATTCAGTACATACTGGTCAATGGGTGATTACAAGAGTCAGAGGCAATTCATGTGTTTCCATGTTGCCAATAAAGAACCAGAGAAGGTATCTAAACAGAGAAGAAAACAAAGAACTATATCAAATTCGTTTTTCTTCACATTTGGTGGCAAAATGGTTAGAGTGTGCAATGCATTTTTTTAAAAACTCTCGATGTCGGTTCCAAAATAGTTGCAAACGCAGTTAAGTACAAAATGGCAGGGTTATATGTTGGAAATGACAAGAAAGGGAAATTAAGCTGTGCCGGGAAATAAAACAAAGAAATATCACAGATCATTTGTAAAGAAACACATCGAAAGCTTTCCGACTTTTAAATCACACTACACACGAAACGACTTCAACAGGAAGTATCTAACGCAAGATTTAAGTATAAGACGAATGTACTCACTGTATGTAGAAAAATGCAAAGGACAAAATAGAAGGTGTGTTTCAGAGGCTGTATACAGAAACATTTTCTGTACAGAATATAACTTGCCTTTTTTCCATCCTAAGAAAGATCAATGTCCCCTCTGCAATCAGTATCACACTTTGAGAATAGAAGATAGAATAGGTGAGGCAACAAAAGCAAAATATCAGGCACACCAAGAAAGAGAAAACAATGCCAGAATGGATTAATCAGTCGATAAAGAACGGGTTAAGAAAGATCCAAGGTTTTCTGTGTCGGCATTTGATATCCAGGCTGTATCGCCAAACACCATGTAGTTTGATTGGTGAACTTTATAACAAAAGAAAACTGTGCTGTTACAATTTGTCATTCTATGAACTGGGAAATGGCAACGAGACTTGTTATCTTTGGGATGAGACACAGGGGAAACGAGGCTCGTGTGAATAGGAACTTGTGTGTACTTGTATGTTACTTCTGATAAAAGTAAGACATCTGTTATTGAAGAAGTGACATTATATAGTGATACATGTGGGTGGACAGAATCGCAATCAGTTTGTTGCAAGTTGCTTAGTTCACTGTGTCCAGTATATTCCTTACATCAAGTGTATAAACCACAATTTACTCGAAAGTGGTCATTCAGAAATGAAATATGATTCCATACATGCGTCTATCGAGCATGCAAAAAGCCTCACAAAAGTACATGTTCCATCTCAGTGGGAAACAGTTATATCATAAGCACGCCGGAAGCAACCATATAATTATTGTCGTTCTAATAAAATACACTTACATACTAGATTACAAGTTGTACAAAGAACAAAACATTTGTTCAATGAAACTGGATGGAGAACGTGTTAATTTGCTGAATATAAAATGGATTCAAGTTCGTAAAGACAAAGAAATGAAAGAATAAAGCCTTTTTGTGAACTATGGTTTTTGATGTTAGTGAGTCCAAAGAAGTTAGGTTAATGCAGCAGAAGAGCAAAAGCAAAGTAATGTCTCTTAAGGCTCCACGACAGGCTTATACAGAGAAACTTTCAATATATGCTGCAAAAAAGCTGATTTGATGTCACTTGTTGCCTCTGGGACAATTCCGAAGGAGTACGAATCATATTACGAGTCATTGCCATGCAGCAAATCTATAAAAGACAAACTGTTACTGAAAGTGAAGAAGATGAGTGAACTTCATGCAATAATTAATGACAAACATTCACATTTTGTGACATGAAACAGTGGTCTTTATTTACTTAACTATGATATTGGTCACTAATGTCCTTAATTGCTGATGTCTGGGGTCTGTTTGACTTCAGTTCGAGTATATACCAGAGAACATTTCAAAATAAATGAAAATTTGTAAACTTAGATTTTAGTGCGTATTTTCCTAACTTTTTTGTTATCAATTTATTTCTGTAGAATCTAAATATTGAGCAGGTACATATTTCATATTTCTATGAATGAAAATTGCCAATTTTGTGTACGAGTATTACTGTGCATGTGTGTTAATGACATTATGTAAGGTTCTTCAAAATAAAGACATACTTAAAAAATTTGCAACAGTAACAATTACTGCAACATCTAAATTCTTTTCAGAGGAACAAGGCTACAACTCCACATAACCTTTTACCACAAGTTATCTCGAACTTTTATTGCTAAACCTTCAGAAATAAAAGGTCGTAAGTGCAGTTATTACCTTTTACCGCTCAAATTTGTTGTCTTGACAGGATCTAAGTACATTTATTACCCTTTACTTCTGTAAAATGATATTATTTTAATCTTAGAACTTTAAAACAAAACATAATTACAGTGTTTTATCAGCACCAAGCAAGGTAAACTAAATAAAATATGATCTAATGTAGTCAACAAATGTGGGAGAATCAAAATTGTTATAAAAATATTACGGAAAATAAAGTTGTATTAAAATATATGTTTTTTGCGTTTTTCTCGAAATCTAGAAAATGGTAGTTATTACCTTTTACCTTTGAACCCTCGATATGATATTTACCTCCACAAATGCCACACAGACAAGAAAAGAATTATACAGATATATTAACCGCATTTTAGTTATGTTAACAAATTAGACGAAAATCAGAAAACTGAAAAGTATTTACTTCTTATCTCATTTTACAAATCGATCAATGCCTTTGACGTAAAACGATTTCTCATTGGCTATTTCAAAATCCATATAGATTTCAGGTTTGCAATCAATGTAACTAGTTGCGTCCTAGATATTTTCAGTCATTGGCAACTTGAATGATGTAAATTAAAATATATAATAACTCTGATTTCCTAAAGGACATGAAGCTATCGGCACAACATTTTAAATTATATTTGTTCTTTTGTATCATTGATAAAGTATGCGAAGTTAACTTAATTTTGACTATACTTCACATAATTTTATCAGTGATATTAATCTATAAAATACAATGTACAATTGTATTATACGCCTTGCAAATACATATATGTATATGGTGCATCCAATAGTAGAGTTAGTTGGGAAACTATTAAATATTATTATATGCTGTTATAATAGTAGTATTTGAAGGTCATTCTTTGTTTTTTTGTTCTGACAAAATGGCTAAAACGTCATTGCCATAAAATATGTAAGCAATGATAAGAATATCCACAAATAAGACAAACCCCGCAATTAATTAAGACCACTTTGGTCTAGTCCCGGTGAAAAAGATCTGAAATTTCATGTTTAAAGTTAACTTGAATAAAAAAAAAGTACATATTCACCCTGACATGACATTGTTAGTGTTGTTGGTTTATTATTATTATTATTATTTTTTTGTATATTTTTGTATTTTTTTTTTGTATTTTTTTAATTTTCTTTTAAAGGGGGAGGGGGTGCAGTTCAGAACGCATTTTTATCAAAAACGTTTTGCTCGTAAAATACTTTAATAAAATAGCTATATCATGCCTTTGGAATATACACTAGAGGAGGTATGGAAATCAATGAAAATCAGAACAAAACATAAATTCAATAATAAATTATGTTCAATGATAATACAAAATATTTGTTGATATGTTCATCCTCGTTTAACTGAGGCTTAACAACATATTATGTTTGAATATTAGCATTATTTTTGTCTTTTTATTATTGCATTGATTGCTCGCACTGAAATGTATTTGTTACTCTGAAATTATATGATGTATATGATGATGTACTATGTACAAATCAAAGAAATAAAAGTTCTGTTCATAAAAAAATCCTCAAATACCACTACATGTAATATCGTCATGGATTTTAATCTTATTCAAACAATGTTAGCTTGATTTCAAACTTCCTTGTTACAAAGACATGAAACGTTTCCATGAAGAATCTATTTATATAAGATTTATCTAAAATGTCTATATGTTTATTAGACTGCATATCATCCTGCTCTATATTGGGGTTTTGTTTTTAGTTTGAATAAACGCACAGGGTTTTATAAAGTAACTGTATAAAGAAAACATATAATCTTCTGCAAAGCCCCTGCGTAGATAAAATTCAGTGACAGATCATTTTATTACATAGCACAGCTCAGTTTTCTGGGTTATAAAATCGATAAAAAATAATTAATACCATTTATTATACCATTTTTTTGTTCTCTTTCAATGTATCACCTTATCTTTTGTCTATGTTTGTTTAAGGCCCCGACTACACCTATCCTAGTCTTGAATGCAAGTATCATATTCTCTTATATTAAATAATGTAATCACCCTACTTAAATGATTTTTAACGAGAAATTGTGACATCCATGAAGATAATTTCTTGCAAGAAAGTTAGAACACGTTCTATTTTTCTACAAGGTTTTGGCTGTCAAGACACTGATAAGACCGGTGTGACATTGTTGTTATTTTTACTATTTATTTTAACTTTTTTGTTGTTGATTCAGTGTACATGACCTGTATATTTCAGTAAATGTTTACAATGTCTTGGTCAAAGGAACAAATCGATACACTGGTACACAGAAGAGCAAGAAAATCTGTTTATCAAATGTATAAAGTATATAATCAATAGATTTTAAATGACCTTGTTCATTTAGTGAATAACTTTCATCAAATAAAGAATTTGCTTCAATTTATAATCTCAAAATATTTTTAAGTAATATCAAAGCACAGAAGGTGCTGAATTTGTTTGGGTCTCAGAATGTCAGAAAGGGGAAGGTTGTGCGATTATAAACCAATTTGTTTTTGTATAGTGCCATCAATGCTGTTTCCAGTGGCAATAAGGCTAATTGCAACACTTATATTCAATTCAATGTTTATTTGGCTAGAACGATTTAAAAAAAAACGAGTTGACTAAACTGGGAATTGAAATCCAGACCTCTCGCTTCCTGAACGAGCGTGTAACCCCTCGACCAAGGGGAAGTTATAAGATAACAGCCTGAATAAAACCACAGTATTCTAAATTTGGGTTTTGTTATTAATTTCGAGATATTTTGTTAACGGTAAACCTGTTGTTTAACACTGATGTAAATAATCATGGAGCTTAATATAAGCATGTATATCTATAAAGAATTACACAATATTAGAAATCTTCGACCAAACGGGAACTATTTTTTCTTCCCCGAGCAGGCTTGAAAATTAATGCGCCTGTCATTTGATAATTTTTACGCAGTGATCTCCCCTTAATTTTTCGGCGTTAGAGTACTTATAAAGGGAAGTAACCGCTTTGAGGAGTTCGGACTACTTTCGGAATTTGCAAATAAGCACATTAGGGTCTGAAATTTCGCTACCATTATTTGTTTGGTCTGACGACCCAAACAAATAAAGACGTCCGTTAAATCAATACATGATGAATCTTTTTTCTTTCTAAACGATTTTGTCGTGTAAACTTATTTCATAGTACTTTGATTTTGTACTTCTTACTATTTGACATTGTGTCCTATTCATTAGTATACTAATAAAAAAACTTCGACGCCAAAATATGTTCCTCAATTTTCGTTTTAGTAGTATTATTTTATATTTTTTGCACTTACGCTAGGAAGATATGGTATGAATTGAAATAAATTTAAAAGTTGTAGTGTTAAGTTATTTGTTGTCAATGTGATGTATTTGTGTGCCGGCAGTCTGATTTTGTAGTGATAAAAGACAAACAAATTTTTAACAGTTTCAGCGTTAGTTTTGGAAATTTTGGTAACAATTTTATTTTTGTTCCTTTTCGTAAAGTATTGTTTAATACAAAAAGTAAAATATAATTGATGTAGATCTAGTACTCTTCGGTACCGTATACATGTACCGGTAAATATCAATTGTAGTATATACGGAATGTGTACCATGGGCTCCGACTATAAATTTAATAAATGTTCTTCAATATAACCCAATATAACTGGACTAAAGTGCGTTCCTGATTTTTGATGAAATAGTCATCAATAATATTAACCTTGTTTTTACCCCGTATATAATGATAAGAATACATTAAAAAAAATGATCAAATTATCTAGGCATCAGACAGATATTGTCAAGATTTTAAACAATTCAAAACAGATTTAAGTCAGCAAGGAAGTTTGTATACATTCCAAAATCTGTAAAATGCGATTTATCTGATATATTAAACGGATATTTTATCTAACAATCAATATAACATTTCCACTGACTCATAATGAAATAGAAAAATTCCCTCTAAGGAGGTTGAGGTTATTTTTTACATGAATTAAAGGACTGGATTTTATCAATACTTGTGTTCCATTTAATGTAGATCTGTCCTAATTTGTAACTTGTGAGCAAAATTTCAGTTCATTACGTCACTCCGATTTTTTCAGACAGATTATTATTACTATTATTGTACATTATGAGCAAAATACGAAAAGCGTTGCAAAACCTGCAAAATATCGATTTTCCATCTAAAACTAGGTATATTTCTTTATAATCTCTTGTCAGGTTTTCGGGTTTATCACTTGATCTGTGCTAGAAATTCAAATTTTATATCAATCAATCAATCAATTAATCAATCAATCGCTGTACAATATAATTGTATAATTACCTCATGTCAATAAAAACAATGCAGTGTAAATGATAATAAAAAAAACAACAACAACAAAGAACTCATTTTTGATCATGAGGAATTGAAATTTCAAAATGATTTTAATCATGAGTCGAATGTTTGCAGTTTAAAAACTTTACTAATGTCATCAGTTAAATGCAACACTACATTGTAGCCGAAATAAAGCAAAAGTAATAAATATAAAACTCTACATTCTCTTTAACATATGGCGACTTTCCAGCTTTACTGGTGGTTAAAAACCCCGTGTACCTCACAGGCACCAATGGACATAAGTAAAAACCCGACTTGCAGTAATCTAGCTACATGAAATCATTCAAAGTCCCTTGCGGACTGCGAAGTGTAATAAGTAAATGTCAAAGTCTATTTGTGTCAAAATGTAGGAATAGAAAAATTAAAGGTAGTGAAAATTAAAATATAAAGATAAAAAGAAACTTTTTACATGCATGTTTCGAAACTTGCATGGTTTGCAAGTTTTGTGTTTAACAAATAAACTATTATTAACCTTTTTCGTAGTGTTACATATTTTCAAAATTACATTCGTTATAATTAAGAATATGTATGTTAAATTGAAACATTTTTTATTTAGTCTTTATCATGTCTTTCATTATTGACGAATCATCGTTGATGATCTAATATCCTATGCTAGGTGTATTAGCCGATAGACAGCTGACTGATAAAGAACACTAGACTAAAATCCAAATGCGAATCGCTGAATATGGGGGCAAGTTTATTATTCTTCGTGTTAATTTGTGCAAATTCTATAACCAATGTGGAGCTTGGCGGCATCTGTGATAAGAAATGTGAATGGACAGGATGGAGCTCTTGGTCTGAATGTGACAGAAAATGTGCTGGCGGACATCAGAAACGTTCCAGAGAGTATTGCTGTAGACTGGAGTTGGCACACGATATAAAACGCTGCATGCAAGATTGTGGAAAGGATTATAACAACATGGAAAGCGGTTTCCAAGACACTAAGGGCTGTAATGAACATTGTAGTAATGGTGGACAATTCATTTTTGCTGGATATTGTCAATGCCCTGCTAGATACCGGGGGACTTGCTGTCAAGATGGTATGTGTTGATTTCTGTTTTAGCAATCATTATCGTAATTATCGTAGGTGTGTAAAGGAAATTATGGTTTTAAACTTCTAATATAACTTTCTTTAATAGTTTGTATAAGACGCTGCACGTTGGCAACTCAGTTGAACTTCAATTCATTTTTCTAAATGTTAGCTAATTTAGCAGGAATATTAGTTTGAATTAGCGATGTGTTCCATATGTCTGAATTGTATTCAAAATCATCTTAAAGGAACATCACTTAATTCCAAAAGCCTAACAAAATGAATTTAAAGTTTGTAACATAGATCTGTTGGGGCACTTGAAATAGAAAGATATGCAAAAGATAATTAAAAACCATACTCGGAAAGTAATTGAAAATCTTGTTTTTTGATATTCTTAGCTCGATTTGAATATTTTTCAATTGTGGGTCATTTTTCACAAAGTTCATAACTATTCCAAAAAAAGGATTGAGCGAATGATCATAAATTTTAAACACAATATATTGGTTTAATAGAACATAAGTCTCGAAAAATTCCTGTCCCGTCATGCCATAAAATCTCAATGTAGTCCTTTTAAGAACATTATTTGAAGGCAGTTTTGCCTTCATATGCCATTTTCTTGTAATTTAGTTTCTAACATTTGTTCACGCTATTTTATTTCAGTGGTTACCTGTGGACAACCCAGTACAATTTCTCATGGTAGTTTCACCGGTAGTGATTTTACCTATGCGGGTAAAATTGAATACACGTGCGACAAGAATTATAACATGACGATCCCTTCACAATCTACTCGCACCTGCTCGTCACGTGGAGATTGGAACGGAAGTGCCCCGACTTGCTTGTGTACGTAAAATTTGAAGATATTGATTTTTTCCTGCAGTGTATGTCTGTCAAATAATACAAATTGATTTTATAACAAGCTATCTTAAGTGGCGCGAAAATTCCGAGCAAAAAAGGTGATGTCACTGTTGTTTTTTCTAAGATCTTTCAAGATCATCGAATATTGAATGTTTTGTTAGGTTATTCATAAACCGAAGTTTTACCAACACTCATGAATGTCAATTTTGCGATCTGTTTATTGTGCAGTACGTACAGACTGGCAAAGTTTAATAGAGTTCGTTTATCTTTTTTTTAATGTTACACTGAAATCCATAAAGTTTGAACTTCTTTAAACTCAGAGCAGGGTATTTATTATATATATAATTGGTATTGAGCATAGTTTAAAAGTTTAAAAGGTAAATGTTTTTAGTAAATCTTTTACTATTTAGATGCAACCTCGTGTGAAAGTAGTCCATGTAAGAATGGGGCTAGTTGTGAGAATTTGTTGGGTGACTTTCTTTGTGTATGTTTGTCCGGGTGGACAGGGAAAAATTGCAAAACTGGTAAGTATTTGAAATGTTATTTTTTGTACGATAAAGGACGAAGATCAGTCTCTTAAGAATGAATAATGTCTAATGTTAATGGATTATTATTTTGATCCCCAGATAAATAAAAATATTAATAATTAAAATTTGTATCTCCTTGAATTTACCGTGCATTGATTGACATGACGTTAGTATAACCAGTTCAAGTTCCATCAATTGACCAATCAATTAAAAGTAATTTGTTATGAAAATATATATTAATAAACAAAAGAACCATAGCTAATGTTTAAATTTTCATTCTCTAGTTATTAAAATTAGTTTAAAAACTACAAATGAATCTAATGCCACACAAAAACAATGATTTTTACTTCAAGATGTGCAACCGCCGATTGTCCAAGGATGTCCAACAGACAGGAATATTGTTACATCAGACTTGACAAGTCGTCAAAACTGGTCAGAACCAAATATCACGGATCCGCACGGTACACAAGTTGTCATAACCAAGAACTACCAAAAAAGTGAATTTGTATTTCCATGGGGAGAGTTTACTATACAATACAGTGCTGTCAAACCTTCCAACGGACTACGTGCTGAGTGCAAGTTCAATATCTCGGTGAAACGTAAGTACGTTAAAAGTGGCCCAGGAAATAGATATTTTTAAGGCAGTTTACAATACTGCACGGTTCGAGTTCAAATGAACAGGAATGAAATTACAAAACATTTGAAAAAAACTGTGAGTTTATTTACTATGATCAAGAAAAATTAATATCTTTTTTCCATTCTAACATGCTAATAAAAAGAAAATTGATGAAAAAAACGTTTAACTACATTAGGCGAATAATTAATTTTCTTGACGGCATTCGGGTTATTGACGTCATATATGACGTCATTTGACGTTCAAGCACGCACATATCGTGGAATGTGTAAATGCACTTGATCGTCTTATGTTTAGTTTAAACATATTTTATTGCATATATATATGCATA